AAAGGATTCATGTAAGTTCTTAAAATTCTTGATGTACAAATTAATGTACAGCTTGCTAACTCTGAGTAAGCCACCTGTTGTGAATCAACTGTTAAGACAATAGATAAACAAATGCTCTTGATCCTCTGCGCCTCTCCAGCTGGGGAACAAGAGCTAGGTTCCCCATCATGTCAAATGGTTCTATTCCACATTAACCCCTACTGCACCCTAAAAACAGCTTGAAGCAGTCAGATGAGTCGGCGGCCCACTCCATAAAAGTGAAAAGAACTATTGACAATGGGAAATTGTTAAAATAAACAGGACTAAAGCCGTTTTGGGACCTAAAGCAGCCTGGGCTATGGGGGTGGGGAAGATTTTTTTAAAGAGACAAGTTTTTTTCTCTTGACTTTCTTATCTCACTAAGTAGAAAGGCAAGGCTGAAAAGCTGGTTGGTACTTTGCAGAGCTAACAGTTCTTTCTTTGAATCTTGTAAAATTTTAGAAAATGATCAAGGCTGAGCGACTGGAGGCTGACCTTGGGCACTGGCCAAGTACACTGGCACAAATCAAAATCTTGCAGGGTCCTGAGATGATGGCGAGAAAACCAGATGAGGCCTCAGCAAGACCTTGTACCTGACTCACAAACACGGACCCCTCGTAGCTCACGTCTCCTGCCCCCCCCCTTTCTTTGCCCTTATGTCAGGCCCCAGTGCACAAAAACCCTTTATAGTCTATGTTCCCTTTACGATAAGTGACTTATATAATTAGAAAAAAACAGAATCCTTCTTTCTCTAATGAGACACAAGGCCTAATTTCTCTTTTGGAGTCTTTTATACCCACCAGACCACCTGGGATGACTGCCAGCAGCTCTTCCAGGTCCTGTTCACCACCGAGGAGAAAACAACCTACTCTCCTCCCCAATGTCATAGATGCAGGATTCCCATTGACCAGACCAAACTGTGATTTCAACTCGGCAGAAGGTAGGGAGCACCTGAAGGTCTGTCGCCAGGCTCTAATGGCAGGTCTCCAAGGGCAGCAAAACGCCCCACCAATTTGACTAAGGTAAAAGAGGTAATCTAGGGGCCCAATAAGTCTCCATCAGCATTCCGTCAGTTTACCCCATATGATCCTAATCGTAAAGAGCAGAAAGCTACTGTGACAGTTGCTTTAATTGACCACTCTAGTAAAGGCACCAAGAAAGAAATTTTCACAAAACTCTGGCCACTGTAGTCAAGGAAACTAGGGAGCCCAGTAAGACGGTACCAGGCAACAGAAAGGGACCCCTGGCAAAGGATCAATGTGCGTACTGCAAAAAAAAAGAAAAAAAAAAACTAGAGCCCTGTAAAAGGCCTGTAGCATATCTGTCTAAAAAACTAGACCCAGCAGCCGCTGGGTGGCCAGCCTGTCTAAGGATTGTAGTGGCAGTTACTGTCCTAGTAAAAGATGCTAACAAATTGACTATGGGGCAGAATTTAGTAATCTCAGCACCTCATGCTTTAGAGAGTGTTGTCTGCCAGCCCCCCGACCACTGGCTCACAAATGCTCGCATGACTCGCTATCAGACTCTGTTACTGAATTCAGACCGGGTTACTTTTGCTCCGCCAGCGAGCTTAAATCCAGCCACACTGCTGCCGGACTCTGACCTCGACCTGCCTATCCATGATTGTCAACAAGTGCTTGCTGAGGTGCATGGATGGCAGAAAGACTTGTCAGATCAGCCTCTGACGGACGCCGAAGCCACCTGGTTTACTGACGGCAGCAGTTTCCTGGAGGAAGGAGTACAAAAGGCAAGAGCCACTATAGTAGACGGCCAGAACCTGATATGGGCACAGGCCTTACCTGCCGGAACATCTGCCCAGAACACAGAACTCATCACCCTCACAGAAGCCCTTGAACTAGGAGAGGGCAAAAGAATCAACATCTATACGGACAGCAGGTATGCCTTTGCCACTGCCCATGTGCACGGTGCTATTTGTCAGCAATGGGGTCTGCTGACCTCTGGAGGGAAAAAAATTTTTTTAAAAAGGCAGAGATCATAGCCCTGCTAGAGGCCCTTCACAGACTGCTAAAAGTGAGTATTATACACTGCCCGGGCCACCAGAAAGGGGATTCCCCCATCGCCAGGGGAAACAACTTGGCCGATTCAGAGGCAAGGGCGGCAGCCAAAAGGCCTACACCTGTTCTGTTAATTGACACCCCTAATTTTAAAAAAGCCCACATTTAAATACTCTGCTGAGGATGTAGCAGTAATCTCAAGGGACTCTAACAACCACTTTGGTCAAGAAAAAGGGCGCTGGTATGCAGCATCAGGCAAGCCTATCTTGCCACAAGAACAAGCACGCATCATGGTTAAACAGATGCATCAATGGACTCATCTGGGAGTAAATAAATTAGTCCAAACATCCCAAAAAATCAAATATCATATAATGGGGCTAAAGCAATTAGTAGAACAAATAGTTAAAGGCTGTGTACCTTGTCAAAAAGTGAATGTCTGTAAGAATACAGCGGGTCCTAGTAAAAGACTCAGAGGAGACAGACCAGGGATGTATTGAAAAATAGACTTTAAAGAGATTAAACCGGGCAGATATGGTTACAAATATCTCCTAGTTTTTATAGACACCTTCTCTGGATGGGTAAAAGCCTTCCCGACAAAACAAGAAACAGCCACTGTCGTGGTCAAGAAGATCCTAGAAAAAATCTTTCCATGGTTCGGAGTGCCCAAGGTAATCAGGTCCGACAATGGACCCGCTTTTGTCGCCAAGGTGAGTCAGGGAGTGGCCAGACAACTAGGGGTCAATTGGAAATTACATTGCATTTACAGACCCCAGAGTTCAGGACAGGTAGAAAGGAGGAACAGGACTCTAAAAGAGACTCTGGCTAAATTAACCATAGAGACTGGTGTGGACTGGGTGTTGCTCCTTCCCTTAGCCTTGTTCAGAGTTAGGAACACCCCCTCTCAGTTCAACCTAACCCCCCTTGAGATACTCTATGGTGCCCCTGCCCCCTTGACTTTGCTGGGGAATGCTTTTGAACCCACTTGCCACAGTAACATTGACTTATATGCCAGGTTGAAAGGACTTCAAGCAGTGCAGAAGGAAGTTTGGACACAGTTGGCAGCCACTTACGAGCCTGGGACCCCCGAGGTTTCTCATCAGTTCCAGGTTGGGGACACAGTCTACGTCAGATGACACCGTTCCCAGACCCTGGAGCCTCACTGGAAAGGACCTTACTTAGTGCTTCTAACAAACCCAATGGCCATGAAGGTAGACGGAATCTCCGCTTGGATCCACACCTCCCACGTGAAACCTGTGCAGCCAGAGTACGAAAGACCAGGGAGCGTCACCTGGAGAGTCCAGAGTGCTGCAGAGCACCCCTTAAGACTGAAAATTGTACGGACACCCTAACTGTTATAAGATAAATACTCTCTTGTTTTCTTTATGTCTAACCATTCTCTTCCAGGGCGCAAAAACTCCCAGCCCACATGCTCCTAAAAGGTTAGCTTGGTATGTTATAAATGGGGTAGGGAATACAATCTGGAACTCATCCAAGATCACCATAGGGACGGGGACATGGTGGCCTGACTTGTACCCTGATGTATGTAAGTTAGCTATGGGAGCACCTGCTGACTGGGACCTAGAGACTTACAGTGACATCTCCAAACCCCCTAACACTCCCAGTCAGAAGTGTCCCTATACCAGGAACTCGATCAGCAAGGGTCAAGTATTTCATGATTGAAATACGCACCAGAAGAGAAGGGGGGAATTGTTATAAAAATTGTGACTCTAACCCATATTATTGCCTATGTAGCTTTAGCCTGCACAAATTGTAACAGAGAAATATGAACTTTAAGCTAACCTACAGAAATTATTCCTGTAAGCACTTACTAACGAGGAAAACCTATCTAAAGGTATTTTAAGTAAAACAGCTTTTTAGAGGTCAAAGCAGAACTAGACACACATTCCAGGGGCCAGCCAGTCTCAAGGACTAACCAGCCCTCTTATCTTCAGGACACCTGGCAGAGCCCAAGTGATAATAAAAAAAAAATTAAACAGTCCCTTATGGGGGGTGGGGGGCTAGCCTGTTAAGCATGACCATGAAAAAAAGTCTTTGTCCAGAGAAAGTGTATAAAAACTCTCATGTCAAAGAGCTTGGGGCTGCTTATGAAAAAGGCGACCCAGCATATGCTGAATAAACACCTCTTGCTTAAATTGCAACGATCTCTTGTCTTGTGGTCTCTGTGAGGTGAGTCACTTTGGCGTGTAGGATTTATGCCCAGGGCACGGATCTTTCATAAGGTCATGTCAATAGATTGTAATAATAACCAGTTCTTTATCTGAGAGAGAGGGACAGTTTGTCCAACTGTGTGGTACAATCCATTGAAGGCAAATTAGTTTATTGGATGAGAACAAATATTTTCTAATGGTTTGGAACAGAACTACCATATTAATTTCTCATTTGTTTAATGATTTAAAGGAAAATAGATGCATGATTTTTTTCATCCTCTAAAATGGATCTGCAAAAATAAACATGGGTTCTAGAAGAGGAATACCTATATGACAACTAGAAAAGTAAAATTACTTATTAATATAGTGCGGTAATTGGCCAACATTCGAATTTCCCCATTCTTCTCACAATGCCCAGGTTGTCACACCAGGATGTAGTAAAGAATCAGAATTCTACCTCGTAATAAAGTGGAAAGAGGCCAGTCTTGATCCATCAGGTCCTGTTCTCCTGGTAGCAAGAATCCCTGCCGAGAAAATAAACAAAATCTTCTCCTTCGGTCCCTAAAGGATGACAGCAGAGGCTTGTGGGAAATGTAGTGTCGTCCGCCCGTGACGTTGGCAACCCAGGAGGACTAAACAGCTGCTCCAAGTTCCTTCTGTACTTGTGGGGCTCCGCTCACTCTGCCATCTGGGAAATGTAGTTTCCCTCTGCAGTGAGGACACCTGCGCAGGACTACGGGAAAGGCTTTTCCGGGTTTCTTCTGCGCATGTGCGGTTCCGCCCACGCCGCCATCTTTTCGCTGTAAGTCCCCGAAGCTGCGGACACCTCAGCGCTGCTCCTCAGATCCTTAGAGCTTCAGCATTGTGCGTCTCTGAAGGTGGGTGTGAGGGTGAAAGAGGAGCCCGCGGGCCTCGGGGACCCTGGGGAGAGGGACGATGTCCTGGCACTTGGGGACAGGAGAGCCGCGGGCCTCGGGCGGGCGGGGCCTGACGAGCGGCGTGAGCGCGGACCTGGGCCGGGCCGGACCTGGGAAGGGGCGCCCGGGCTGCGCTTTCCAGACCGCTGCGTAAGAGGACGGCGCTGCCGGGTGTGCAGAAGCCGGTTCCAGATGTCCCAGGACGGGGGCTCAGGTCCCAGGTGGCGACGGGAACGTGAGTGGGGGCGTGTGAAGGCAGCGAGCCTGGGAGGTGTGGGGAGGTCACGTTCCAGCTCCGCCATCAGGAACCTGGTACCGACCTATGGGACGTTCACTTCACCATCTGTACCGTGAGCGTGTGGACATTAGTGTGATGCCCCAGATCCCGGAGGTGAATCTGGGATTGCGAGGTGTGTGCAGACTGTCACTCTGTGGCTGCTGTGGTCGTGGGTGTCTCGGTGTCTCTTCAGGAGGTCACGTTTCTGGTCCCTCCTGCCCTGTGCAGCCTGCCTGGCGCTCCTTGTTTAATTTACAGAAGCTTATACAGAACTTTGTTTCCAGGACAGTGACTTCTAGGAAGGAGATTGGGGCACTGGATGTTGGTCTCATTTTCTTTGGAGTGAAGGAGATACGACAAACTTTGAAGGACGGTGTCCTGTGAATAAGAATCCCACCTGGGGGAGCATCGTTGTGGCCGGAACCCTCTGAGTACCGCTTCAGTCCCAGAAAGGTGAAGGTCCCAGCTTTGCACAGCCCAGACAGCAATTGTGTGTAGTGTTTACAACGCACCGCAGTTGGTGATGACACCACGTTCAGTAGCTGTCTGAGACTGGGTGATATCGGAAGGTTGGGACCAACTTTCAGAAGGGAGAAGTGAGTTAGGCTGAGAAGGAGAGGCAAGGACCCAGGAGGTGTTACTTATTGAAGGGGGTTTGAAGGTGTCTGTGGGGTGCAGGAATAACCTGTCACCGCTGATAGGGTCTGTCTGCAGTGCTCTCTGAACACACGCCCATTCCTTCAATCTTCCCTCACTGTTCCCAGTGTCTGAGCTCTCAAACCCAGCCTTTGGCCAAATTTGGCATCTAGAGATGTGCTGATGGTTCTCTATCTTCATAGTTCTTTTCTGGACATTCAGGAATAGTTTTCCCCATATATCTACCTTGTAAGAAAAGTGAAAATAACTGGATATGAGGAAATGTGACTTGCCCAGGTTCACATGATTTGTTGATGCTAGACATCCTGACTTTTTGACTAGCATTTTCTGTTTTTCCTCATTTAAGTCAAAGCAAGTGTTCGTTCATTTTTGAGATTATTTTTGTAATGCTGAAGTCAACTTAGAGCAAACAGTGCTTTAACATACATTACCTTAAACATGTCTATCCTTTTTTAACTCCAGTACTTTCTTTGGATTATGTCACCTCAAAGGGGAAATAATCTAAGTATTTCCCACTTAATATTAGTAAGCTATTCTTTTTTTTTTTTTTTTTTTTTTTTTTTCTTTTTCCTTTTTTGAGACCGGCCACACCACGCTCAGCCAGTGAGCTCTGTGAGCGCGCTGGTCATCCCTATATAGGATCTGAACCCGCGTGGGAGCGCTGCTGCACTCCCAGTGCCGCACTCTCCCGAGTGTGCCACGGGCTCGGCCTGTAGTAAGCCATTCTTTAAAATCATAACTTTTGTAGGAATATATTGAAGGCAATTTTACATTATTTAACGTGGGAAAATTAGACTACAGTTCCCTTCTACTCAAAACCAATTTCTTAATTGTAATTAAAATGTTTATGTTCTTCAAAAAGTTCATGGAAAGATTTCTATTCTCTTTTCATTCTATTTTTCCCCAGACTTTTGAAAGTACCCTGATACAGTGCATTACTCACTTATAAAGACCACTCTTTTAATGTTGTATGTAAAGTAAACAACTTGTATGTGATGTAAAAAACAATACAAAACAAAACTTACAACATAGTTTACTGATGTGCAAATAATTGTGGTACGATTTACATAGCCTCTGTTAGGGCTGGAAGCTTCCCTGAAGTACATGTAGTTAACATTTATTGTGATTTTCAAAACTTCTACCTGTGGTTGTGAAGGTATATTGAATGTACTTGACTTATAATTTAAGAATTTCTCGCCCACGTAATTTTGTTAAATATGTTTTGAGTCTTGGGGACTTCGATGTATCATTCAGCATTTGCCATGTAAGAAACAAATCAAACCCCAATGTCTTGAAAAACCCAGCCATCTTATTTTTTTGAAGTTCTGTGGATCCACATCTTGGGTGCATTTTAGCTGGGCAGTTCTCATTCTAGTGTCCCCTTGATTACAAATGTGGGTTTAGTTACCTGGTATCTTGACTGAGGCTGTTTGGTTAAAGATGGCTAGTACTTTTCAAACCTATGTTTGCATGACATTTTCTAATGTGACACTGCCCAAAGCAGGTCACACAACAAAGACTAGTTTATTGTCAGAGCATACTATTTGAGGGCTTGGGTACGGGGAAATCAGTATACCTGAAGAAATATACATTATGTGTATTTTTTTAACAATATAATCAGAGGGAAAGTGCTGGGTTGCAAGATGCACACTATCCAGACATTTAGGCACTTAAAAGGAAGATGTGTTGTAATGGGAACACTTTCTTGGAATCATGTGTGAACTTAACTTATTAATAGTTTAACAGTTAATACAGCCAAATGATTTCCACAATACTAATTTTAGTGATGTTGCAATGTGTTTTTCTTTGGTTTAAGGTATTGTTATATGTTTCGGTAATATGATTCATGCTAAGTCAGAAGGCTATGAATATTTTCATTGACCCAAAAATAAACCGTGTGTGTAAGTGCACCTATTAATGTACTTGGAGCTGCACCTTTAGTGGGGTCTTTGTTGCCCCTTATTGAGGCATGAAAGACAGTTCTCTCACAGGAAGGCTTTTTGTTTTTTTATTTGTCTTTTTCAGCTAGTAAGTAGTTTGGGGAAGGAGAATCTAGAGCCAACCCACAACAGTTCTCTACTTACTCAACTTCATTCTCTTTTCTCCCAGCTATGCTGATAGACTGTGCTGAGTTTACAAGAGCAAAAAAAGATGAATAAATCTCTGGTGAGTTTTTTGGTTATTTATTACTCACTCTTTTTTTTATTGTACTATGTGAGCTTTATGGCATGTGTAAATTAAAATTGAAAAGTACAAATGAGTAAAATTCAACTTGAAAGAAATGTACATTCATATGGTAAAGTTGGCATGTAGATATAGCAGTTTGTAAGACCTCACAGTCATCCAAGTTGAATAAAAATTTTTCTCTGGTCTTTGTGATGTCATGGAAAAAAGGCAGACACCTTGTTTACATGATTGGAATAGAACCTGAGAAGAGAATCTTTCAAATTCTTTTGGATGTGAAGACTTGGTGGCACCAAATTCTGCAACACCATCAATGTTAGAAAGTTTTTCACTGCTGACCTGGAAATAAACTCACTTTCTGCAGTGGAAATAGTTACCTAATTCGAAGGCACAAGTTGCTTAGTAAGCTTTTTATAAAGTTTCTAAAATAAATCTAGTTCCAGAAGCCTTTAGAAGACTGTACTAAGATTTGTAGATAAAACAGAATGATAACCAAAGTTACAGTCAAATCCAGTGACTGTTCTCTACTCAATTTAGAAAAAGACTAGAGTCTTCTGCTACAGTTTGAACTACTGTTCATGATATTCTCCTGGAAATTACTCTGTTAGTTTATTATTTTCTCTCATGACTTCACTGATGGTTTTTGCTGTTTTCTCCTGAGTTCTTCTTTCTTCTTTATAACATAGCTTATCAAAGTGCTTCATCCTGGGCCCTGTTTTTCTCATGTGAAATTCTTTCTCACTGATTCAGTCCTCTGTAGTTTGCAGTCCTCTTTCTCTCCAGGTTGTACTTCTTCCCTAGTCTTTTGATCATAGGTTGAACTCTGTTGAATGCTTGTTTGTAGCTATTTAAAAGGCACCTCAGGGGGCTGGCTTGTTAGCTCCAATGTTTAGATCATGGTGTTTTAACACCAAGGTCAAGGGTTCAGATCTCTGCACCAGCCAGCTGCCAGAGGGAAAAAGAAACAACAAAACATCACCTCAAGACCAACAAATCTAAAATTAAAACCAATTCCCTTTCTTCTGTTATATGTGTTATCACTACCACCCAGCCACTGACACAAGCCACCAAAATGAGATTTCTCCTGGACTCCTCCCTGTTTCTTGTATCTAATTTTATCTTGCATTACTTCCTGCTACTTTTGTTTGGTCTTTTCATTTTATTCTAATTTCTATATACACTGCCAGTATAGGGGGAGATATTGGTACACAAAATATAGTAACTTTGTTCCATTGCAAATATCATTCTTGTGAAAACCTGAAGGTAATGTTTGCTGGGCTGTGAGGTTCAATCCCTGGTGACCTGTGCTTCTAGCCAGCAACTGTGGTGACATCCTTAAGAGTCCCTGGGGAGAAAGCCTTCAGGAGTTACTGGGACATGTTTAAACAATGGTCAGTAAAAAGACATGGAAGTAATAAAAACAGAAAGTACAAATTTTCATAATGTCTGCCTTTTGCTTCTGTAAATTTACATCAGTGAATCTATTTGTAGTTTTTAATAATACACAGTTATCTGTTTGTAGTTCAATAAGACCCATCATGTTTTTAAACTTTCTTAAAGATTGTATTTTATTCTTCTCCTATTTCAGGTAATTACATAAAAGTGAATGAGAAAGATGGATGTGTGCATAAGTCATCAGTATGTTTTTAAAGTAGAACTGTAGCTAACAGATAGTTAAAAACAAAACCTGACAAACCAGTTAACTGAACATTTACATGCACAATTGTAGTTTGAGATCTAACATAAGATGTGAAATGCTTTCATTCTTTGTTTTGAATCTGATATTCAGTGTGAACCTACATTCTTCATGTTTCAAATCAAAGTAAAACCTAAGGCCTCTAATAATTTTTTTGGTGTTCCAGTGATCTGCTGTGCAACAAAGTATCAGAAAACTTCTTGGCTTAAAATAAGAACATCTTATTACATGTCACAATGTTTTGGGTCAGTAAACTGGACAGGGTGGTGTGGGTTTGCTGCTACACAATGACTCTGCTCTGAGCTGGAAAAACTCTAGTGGCTGGGAACACTGAGGAGACATCCAGCCCTCTCTTTGTGGCCATGTTGGACTTCCTCACAGAGTGGCGTTCTCAGGGTAGTCAGGTTTGTCTGGCTTCTGCCAGAACAAGTGTCCAAGAGGCCCAGGCAGAAGCCGTGAGGATTCTTATTATCTCCATTCAGATACCAAAGCATCTCTTCCAATGTATTCTCTTAGTCAAGCACATCCCTAAGACTAGCCTTGATTCAAGGGGAAGACAATTAGATTCTTCCTTTCAATAAGAGAAATAGCAAGACTTTGCAGCACTATTTAATAGACCACAGTCTGCTCTCTGGCCATAAATTTCTACCACATGCAAGATATACTTTGCCCTTCTCAAGAGCCCTGTAATTTTCTACCATTGTGCAGTTGGCAAAAAGCCAAACTAAATAAGATCCAGTGTCCTGTCATCTTTTTAACATGCACCCAGCTTATAGTGAACAGACAGGCATGACCATGTGTGCAGTTTTCTTCAGACAGGGTTGGTGAGAAAGGGAAGGACCCTGCAGGCACTGGTCTGAATAGTTATTCCCCTCAGGCACCTGCTTTAGTATCTCATTAGGACCCAGCCCTGGTTCCTGGAAAAGATGCTTTGTTGCTCTTCACTGTGTCCTCTGATCTCTCACCATTCTGTGTCAATAGCTCTTTTTCTTAAATGCCTGGGTTTGCAGTTGACTGACTTTCTTTACCTATTTTTGGTTATTACATGTTGGGGGATCCAATGACCTTTTTAATTTTTTTCTGACTGGCCTTTTGATACAGGAAATTATCTGGTTTAATCACTGCCATAAAAACATGGGTTTCCATTGTTCTAAAATCCATTAGACCAATGTTAGCCCCACACTTTCTGAGTCAGGCCCTTTGTTCTCTGACCTCCCTGTCTCTCTATGGTGGCTATTTCCTTAGAAGTTTTATGTTTACTAGGCACTTTCTATGTGTCAGATCCTAAGGTACTTAGAAAGCTCGGAATTTCGGTCTTTCATCTGTTTTGGAAAACTGGATTTGATATTTGCCACAATTCAAAAATGAATTAAAATAGAGTTTTATTTCAAACTCAGCAAGTCCTGGCTCCTTCATATTTTCTCTAAATTCTGTTTGAAAATTGAACATCCTTCTTTTATTTTCTCAATGACACAGAGAGGGAGCCAGGTAGCACTTTTCCCATTGTGCCCCAAAGTCTCCTTTGGCACACTGTGACATGGTGAGATACCCTTTCCATTTTCCATGTTATGGTAGGTGGTATTGTGGCCCACATCCTTCAGTGTTCCATTTATTTCTAGTAATATAATTTGTCTTGAATATTCTTTTGCTGTCATCAACATTTCCACTTAATCTTTTCATAATTTGTATTGCTATGGTAGATATGTTTTCATTATTTTACTTTTAGTCTGTTTCTTTGAAATTAAAGTGTAGTTCTCTGGACAACATACTTGGGTCTTACTTTCCTATCAAATCTGAAAGTCTTTGCCTTAAGGAGAATATTTAATGCAATTCCATTTAAACTAATTATTGATTAGGTTTAATTTGTGTGACATTTTGCTATTTTCTATTTGTATTTGCCTCATTTGCCTTTTAATCCTCTGCTTTTTATTCTAAATTTTTATCAATTAATTTTTCAAAAATATTTTATTTTGGTTTATCTATTGACTTTTGAAATAATTTATTTTTAATTTTAGTAAAAAACATGTAGTATAAAATTTACCATTTAAATCATTTCTTAACCTTTATATAGTTTTGATTATACTGAGATATCCACAAGTGCAGGAGATATCCACAAATGCAGGAGATATCCACAGGTTGTTTTATCTTGGAAAATTGAGGGGCCAGCCTGTGGCTCACTCAGGAGAGTGTGGTGCTGATAACACCAATGCCATGGGTTCAGATCCCATATAGGGATGGCTGGTTGACTCACTGTTTGAGCGTGGTGCTGACAACACCAAGTAAAGGGTTAAGATCCCCTTACCGGTCATCTTTTTAAAAAAAGAAAGAAAATTGAAACTCTACATCTATTAAATGACAACTCCCCAAATCCCCCTTCTCCGAGCCTGGCAACCACCATTCTACTTTGTGTTTCTAAACATTTGACTTGTCAGTGGGACCTTATGATACTTGTCATTTTGCAAATGTCTTATTTCCCTTTGCATAATGTCCTCAATTCCATGTTATAGAATATATCATGATTTCTTTTCTTCTTTAGGTTGGATATTATTTCTTTGTATATACCACATTTTATTCATCCATTCATTCATGGCTGAACATTTGGGTTGCTTTCACCTCTTAACTCTGTGAGTGCTGCTATGAACACAGGTGTGGAAATATCTTTTTGTGATTCTGCTATTATTTTGCATATAAGTACAAAACTTGGATTTATGAATCCTATGGTAATTCTATTTTTAATTTTTTGAGAAGTCGGTGTACTTTTTAAAAATAGGGGCTGCATTTCTTTACATACTAACATAAAGTGTAGAAAGTTTCCAGTTTTGCCAGTACTTGTTATTTTCTATTGGTTGTGAAATGATATTTCATTGTGGTTTTGCATTTCTCTAATGATTAATGATGTTAAGCATCTTTCCATAAGCTTGCTTGACATTGGTATATCATCTTTGTAGAAATGTCTGTTGAAGCCCTTTGCTTATTTTTTAATCAGATTATTTGTTTTCTTGTTTACTTATAGGTGTTTTATTTTTATTTTAATTTCTCAATATACAATGTGGTTGATTATTGTAGCTCGTTACTGAAACCTCCCTCTCTCCTCCCTCACCCCGCTCGCTCCCAACAATCTCCTTTCTAGTTGCTTGTCGTATCAACTTCAAGGAATTGTGATTATTGTGTTTATTTCCCTCCCCCCCCCCCCCGGGGGGTTTGTGTTTTTTTTTCTTGTAAAGTTGTTTGTGTTCCTTGTATATTCTGGATATTAATCCTTTGTCAGATGTATATTTTGCAAATA